GGGGGAGAGAATTAGACTGCCAAATTTTTTTTAGGTTTCATTCTACGAGATATTCGCCTAGCATAGTGGTGGACAAATGGCGCTAACAGATAAAACCAGGCAATGCACCTAATGTACCAGTGTCATTTCTGCAATTCTTTGGTCAGGACCCTGACATATTTATGTTCAGGTTGAGGTGGTTTAAAAGTAGATCAGTTCATTCCTTTATAACCCACTGCTAACTGTTCATTATTGGATTGAAAGTCCAGCTGCTAGCACAAATGTACATACTATTTATATATAGCAATTTATATTCAAAATACTTCTCAATTTTTCGTTTTTTCTGACTTGACTTTGCCTATATTTCAGGGTACTCGTGACATGCAATGTTAGACCCCGACACAATACTAAGTAAAGTTATAGAAAAGTAAGCGGCCTATATATAGTTACTCATCATTGATGTGAATATTATCTAATTATATTATTAGAAGTGACAAATACTTAAAATAAAAACGTGGAAATTACATAAAATGATATTAGTCATGACTAAAGTCGGCATGTTCTAGTTCATTTAGTTTGATCAAGCTAAAAATTAGAATATTTAACAGCAAAAAATAGTTAAAACACCAGGTCTAATTTTACAATGCTGTATTTGTTAGTTCCATAGTGGCTGCAGGAGTTGGCGGCCATTCAGGAAAGAGCGAGAGTAAAAATGCTTTCCTCGGAAGAAAGGAGAAGGATCTACATTAATTGCGAGGCGAATGCATACGTTGCCTTGGCCCAGCCTTCTCACAATCAGGTTCCACCATCGCGTAGTTAATTTCCATATATATTTATTATATTTTGATGTACTCTATTCCTGTCTATTCCGCACCCCCCCTTGTAGCTCCTCTTCGCTGCTGTGTTACCTATACCTACAGTGTGTCCCCTATGCCCTTTGCTTTTCTGGACCTCAGCTACAGGTCACTCGTCCACCCCGCCCGCCGTCTCATTTTCCTCACTATCATCATATCTGACGCCCCCCCCCTTCCCCCCAGCAGATACGACTACACCGCGCACCTAGCAGTCCGCACCCCGCCCCGCCCCGAGTAATTGTTTGTTGAGTAATCAGGCCCGCACATGTCAATGCTTGCGAAAAGGTGGCCTACCCTGGACAAAAAATGAGATTTTACAAAAAATAAGTGTCTAAGGTGCATATTCTGAATCCAGATATATATGGTTCAGATACCTCTAGATTTATTATGGTCATTTTTAATTAACAAAAAAAAATAAATAAACACATAAATTTGAAGGCCCCTGACCAGCTCTCAATGTCCGACTTACACTTTGTGTATACATATATGTACCTCGGGTACATATCTGTAGTACCTGTTACGACAACGACCCCTTGAGCCACACTAACTATAGTCCCTCTATGGTGAAAAGAATGGCAACCATAGGTAGCAGAACTTACGGGTGTCCTCAGATGACCAGCAAGCACCCAGAGAGGGGATGAGCATGCTTCCAACTCCGCAGAGAATGAAGCATAGTATGTGTTTGGCTCATACTCAACATGATGCACACGCTCACGCTGGTTCATATTCATCGCTGCAACAGGACATCAATACAAGTGCACTGAGAGCCGATTGAGTTTGCTATGGCTTGCACTATACTTATAAATATTTAATTACCATTACACTTAACAACTATATACATAATGACGTTTGATGTAAAATGTCAATTACTCTATGTTTTCAGCTTGTTAACATCAGTCATTCTACTTTGGCACCAATAAAAAAATATAATAACACATTACATAGTGAACCCCAAAATTTAAACACTAGACCATCTACAATTTTTTATGCGAGCTGTGCTTGTTGTAGTTTCCCTTGTTCATCATACGTAGTTTATAAGTTACAAATTTGCAATTAGAAAGAAGTGTATAAAAAGTAATATAGGACAGCACCCACCTTGAAAGTATGTTACTAGCTCAAACCACATCTCGAGTAGTTTAGCATCACTCATGAATAGAAAGGACACCGCTTTGTGTGAGAGGACATTGATCAGATCACTGACTAGTGGCCAATAGCAGTGCTCCTTCATCACTTTCTCTGCGCAGTTGACAGTCTGATCAAAGCTGCTCTCATCAGAATCTAGTCCAAAGGAAACGGTCTTATATAATATTATCTCAAATAGTCTGTAGCATAAGAAATTTTCATAACAGGCTAAAACAGGCAAGAATAAGTAAGGCTGCCAGGGTCTATGTCTCCCTGGGTACTGCCGGAACGTACCCTGGTACTATCTAATATGCCGGACCGTACCTCACCTACTCCACTAACGAGTCTAGGGAGTCGCCTACGCCTACTCCCTAACCCTAACCCTAACACTAACCATATCAGATAGTTACCAGGGTACGTTCCGGCAGTACCCAGGGAGACATAGACCCTATCAGCATAAATAAGGAACATGAGCATTCATATACAAAGCCTTCTCAATGCTAGCTCTAATAATAATTTTTATTCTGTGTATTTAATGTATATATAGTTTTATTACCTGTGGTGTCTATCACTAAATATCATAATTACAAGCAGAATCACAATAAAATATTGTATTCACTGAAAATGAACATTACAAATGAAATTCTTTCCGTCATTGTATTTACGTGACGTAAATTGTTCAAGACTGGTACCCTATTTCGAGATGTAGACAACGGTAATAGAGTATTAAGAGATGGTAGCGGTCGATAGCATCTCGTGAGAGAGCGAGAATCATGTGCTAGTAATGTTGACATATGTAAACAAATCTATTTTGAAATGTAGATTAGTGCACATTTATAAAAATAATGTGTAAGTGTTTTTAAGGACACACTTGAGGTTTTATGCGAAATTTCATTGATTTTTCATTTTCATAATTATTCGATGGCATGATCCAACCAGCCATGGTTCATGGTATTAATTATGCGAGAATCTATCAGCCTCACCCTTTCCTACAGCCGTCTACTGCCAGTGATAGTTGAAACTGCCGTGTGGTCGAAAATATCATGAATGGAAAAGATTTGGCTTTCATACTCTTTGTGGCAATTGAGAAATATCAAAAATGCCATTTTTACATAAAAAGTGCCGCAGAGCGACAGCGCTCATCTAACGTCTACTGCGGTGACTCTGTGGTGGAGTGGTGGGATTCTAGTAAACCCTGCTAGTCCCAAATGTGTTCACATACACGCCGAAACAGTGGAATGCACAGGGATGGTATCAGGAACCTTCTCAAAAGAATGTTCGTTGGGATC